GTCTCTGTTCCTCATTCTTCGCAGAGCACCATCCAGGAAGGGGACCACGTGCGGGTCCCCACTACACACGTAGAACCTGGCAGTCCCTTTATTAGGCCGGTTTTGGTCAGCCCAATAAAGGGACCTTCGCCCAGCGCTGGGGGCTATAAATACCCTCTACTTCAAGAGGGTCAGGTACTCATTCATTACGCGCCTACTTACTTTTTTTCCTGCCCATTTCGTCTCTCATTTTATCATCGGAGTGTCTTGCAGGTACCCCCCTCATCTCATTCAAATCCACTTCGAGCCAGCTGTGACGGTCCAATTCTGATCCGGTAAGATCACCAAGTATGCATGTGATTTATGTATCTCATGTTTTGTGGTTGTTTGTTGTTGTTTTATTCCTTATCTCCAGTTATATTATGCAAAGGTTGTTTTAGCCAAAATTTGCCAAAGGAGGATATTGTTAGATCTATGATTTTATGATTGGTAGTAATTTTGTTAAAAACATGTATCACAGCTAGATGTTGAGCAAGATGTTGTGACATCTTGATCAGACATTGTAGCAGGCTCGGTTTTACTTCTTGAAAGATTTATTTTATTTATTGTAAGATTTTCTGCTATTTTATCTCACATATTTTTGCAGTTCAAGAAGGGTTTATTTTGGAACAATTGTTTCTATTCCAGGTGTGCACTTGTTTCATAAAATAGAATGTTGAGACATTTTAGAAAACATGTGATGTTATTCCTTATTTTTAGGAGAAGTTGTCTGCATAAAATTATGCAGCAATCAAATTGTGGATTTGTATCTAATTAATTGAAGAGCCTGGAGCCCATGCTTGCAAAAGACTTTTAAGAGGACATCCTAAACATAATGAAATCGGAAAGTCGTGTGCATCAAAAGAGTATTAGGGTTTTTAGTGTGTTTATTGTTTTTTGTGACCCACTCTCTTATCATCTTGATATTAGAGTTGGACTGAGTTTGAGTTGTATTTTATTAATCAGTCGTAAGCTTTTAAGTAGAGCTGATTATGTGTCTTTAAAGAGTGTCTTCATCTTTATATTATCATTGTTAGTTTGTCATTGTTTATGTGATTAAAGAGAAGTGGGAGGGGGATCATATCTAGGAGTGTCTTAGATAAAAATAGCACGATTAATGATTAAGTGAGAAGATTGTAAATCAGAGGTTGTTTACTTAGACTTTAAACTAATACTATTTTAGTGGATTTCTTCCATGGCTTGGATGCTCCCAGATGTAGGTGGTGTTGCACCGAACTGGATTAACAATTATATGTGTTATTTACTTTCAGCAGTTTACCTTACTTGCATAATTATTTATGTTGTTGTGACTGATCGAATAATAGTGTCGTGACATTTTGTTCGACATTTGATATATGTATACCATAATTTCACTTGCAGTGCAAGTTCCACCACCTTCTGCCTTTTTGAGCTCCTCTGCTTCAGCTTCATCTCATGAGCCTCTAATGAAGTTTGAAGTTAATCCAGCTTCATCTCATCCAGGTTCTTAGACTCTTCAATGGACACTACGATGTAATCAAAATTTACAGTCATATATCTTAACTTTTCTCAAACTTTTATAAATCATTGATTGATTCACCACACACATTCATCTTGTTGGTGAGTAACACTAATCTTGAGAAGAAATCAGCAACTGATTTATCTTCTTTCATCTGGTTTATCTCAAATTGCTTTCTCAGCATCTGCAATTTCACCATCTTCAGTTTTTCACCTCTGTTGTACAAGTTCTTCAACTTGTCTCACGCTCCTTTGGATATTTCTTCTTCAATGATCTTATCGAACACATTAGGATCCACAAATTAATTAATCAAGAACATAACTTTTCCATCTTTCTTCTGTTGATCCTTGTGTGCAACCTTCTGAGCATCATTTGCATCTGCTTCCAATGTCGTTACTCTATCATTCAGGATTTCACTACATCTTGAAATATGAAGATGACCTTCATTTGCGCAACCCATCTCTCGTAGTTCTCACCTTTGAAAATAGGTAGATTTGCTGAAAATTGGATTGATGTTGTGTTTCCGTTTACCATTTCAGAATCTCACTAAATCACCACCCGAGCTCCTTGATACCAATGTATTGGAACAAAATGATTGTCAAGAAAGACGAAGAAGAAGACGAAGAGAGAGAAAATAGATAGAAAATGTATTGGTTTGAAGTTGAGAAATCGTATTGAGTGAAATTGTTGTTTATTTACTTCATACAATGTCTTTATATAGGCCCTCAAAGCCCAAGCCCAAAACATGCAACGTACAAAATCTAAAACTACAAGTTATTCTTTGACACAACAAATGTGTGATGTATTCGACTCAGTCGAATACTGTCAATTCTACTTAGCTTAGTTCGATTAGGTCGAACACACTACATTCAAACCCAGACTTGAAGTATTGAATTATTAGCTTCTAACAGATGTCATAATATACTATAATTGAAATGGATTGTGATTAAAATTCTTCCAACAACCAATTGAGAATTTGATGCTTGCTACGTATACTTGTGTTTTTTATATTAATTGGATAAATTTTCTAATTTTTTAATTTGTTACAAATTAACTACGATTTTAGCTACTGATTAGCTACGAATTTCTATGAGTTCAAGTACGATGTTGATCTTAGTCATGTGATATGTCACATCAATATCTTTGCCATGTTGTCATTGTCATGTGTGTGCTCAGTCGCCAAAAATATTCATGTGGTGTGCTACATCAGCTTCTGTTAACATACGTTGACTGAGAGAGACCAAAAATATAAACGAAAAATATTAGAAAGACGATTTTTTAACCAAAATTTTTTTAAAGAGAAAAGTAAAAATATCTATATTTAAATAGACTAAAAACATATTTAACCCACATAAATAATATTTAATATTTGAAAAAAGAATCACATTTTATATACATATATTTGTTTTGTTTTAATAAGTGTACAACTTTTTCCCAATCAAATCAAATTAAAAACTCTTTAATAATGTTTAAATATTATATTAGTTTATGTCTATATATTATTGTTTATTTTAATTACTGTAACTTTTTCCAGTCTTTATATAATGTTATTATTTACTTTTTGTTCTTTAGTATTTAATTTTAATTATTTTTTCTATTATATAATACTTCTTCTTCTTTTTTATTTTTTATAAAATTATTTTTACTCAAAATGAATTATGTTTCACCTTCGATTTAATTTTAAGATGTTTCTATTAAACAAATCAAAAACAAAATTATTTAAAAAAATATAACAATTTTATAAATTCCTACTATTAACTTTAAAAAAACCATATTTCATCGTTTACTTTGAGTTTCTATATGTGTTTGGCCGACCCTATAATGAAGATACATTTTTTATCAATTTCTATTGTTTGAAGACTCTATTAAATTACCACTTTCATCTAAATCTCTAATGATTGCCACTAAAAAAGAAATAAGAGAGAGAAAAAAGTAAAAATTCATACGTATAAATGAAGAAATGATAGTTGAATTTGGTGAAATTTGAAATCGAGTTTTCTCTAACTGGATGAAGGTTCAAATGAGAGTTTGGAGAAAAAAGTATCCAAAAAATGAAAGAGTGAAGGTTGAACCCCTCTTTGTAGGGAGTTAACGTCTAGGTCTAGTAGATAATGAGTAACTTCTTATTAGGTATACCAACAACTGTTAAAATATTATCACGTCACTGGCACGTGGCAAAGAACTCAAAACGATTTAGTTTTTTCAAGATAAACTTTTCATTAGCTATATTTAATGTTGCACTTACTGTTGTCTGTAATTTTTTAGAGACTTACCCTGTGATTTTTTAGGGACTTGCCCCAACCTCTGGTGGAGGGGCTCACTCTAAGCTCTATTTGAGGGACTCGCCCTAGGAATAACTCGATAATCGCTTTGGGAGGCTAGCCCAAATATAAAGATTTAAGACGATTAAACTAAATCACTTTATCCTTTACAAACTCTCATATTTAAGAAACTATGTATCATTATAATTGTATCGTCTTAGGAAAGAAGAACTCATATAAAGAAGGCAAAAACTGGAAATAGACGAGTTGCCCCCACAAAATTATGGACTGCCCAAAATGGGCCATGAGGTCACTTAGATTTTTTAATATCTAATAGTATTGATTTGTGTGAAACAATAACATATCAATCAAGCTATACAATACAATACACATCTCATTTTTGTTTGAAAGGGAAAGGAAAAAAAGAAGTTAATATAAATTGGCTAATGACCTCACAAAATATTCCTGATTCCTAAAATGAGAAAAAAGACAAATAAATATCTCTTCAAGCATCTTTGAGTGTAGGTCACATGAAGAGGATAACACAACTAAGTATTTATATATTTTTCTAATCATGAAATAAAAATAGGACTAGCAAAGGTAGGTTCTTTTTTTTAAAAAGTCCATTTAATATACAAAATTTTCTATTTTTATTTTTCCATTGCTAGTTCTTTTTTTCATAGTAATATATTAACCAACATGATACATTGAACCTTTTGTGGTTGAAAGCCAAGAGTCACATATAGTTAGACATAGAGAATACAACAGATCAACATCAACCTCACAACAATCCTCCAAAAATCAATCCAATGAATCCCACATGTTTCACTTATACTATAGTACTTTATTTTAATGTATATATGTGTTCAATTTTGACATTTAATTTATAGCATCACCAAATAGGAATTAAGCCACACATCTAAAAAATCACATCTGAACAAGACACGTAGGTTTGTCACTTACCATAGAAAAGAAACTCTTGTGGACTACGTGTAAACTAATTTCCCACCCATTCCATTATTCCACACACAACACATGCAATGCAACCCTCACATTTCAAATCTTCTCTCTATTCACAACATCAACAAGATCTCAACACATCAACAACCGCAACAACATAAACTTGAACAAGAAGATTAAGTTCTACTCTTCTCTGTTCTTTTCCTCTCTTCTCTCTCTCTCTGTCTCTTCTTTCCATGAAAGAAAACAACAACCTTTTCATAATGTCTCACCAATCCTCTGCTGACTCTGATGACAAGATTCCTTCTCATCCATCTAAAGATGCCAACTTTGAGAAAAAACAAGATGACCCTTTTCTCTTGAGCACCCAAAAGAGCCAAAACCATGATGATAAAGATAAAGCATCTTTTGTTTGCAACAAGGAGAAAATGGCTTCTGCTATGGATGATGTAGAAGTTGAAGCAAAAGAGTTAACAACTGTGGATGAGGAATTGGAAGAGATGAGTGAAAGAGAGAGGCTGAAGAGGCATAGAGTTGAAGTAGCTGGAAGGGTTTGGATACCTGAAATATGGGGTCAAGAGGAACTATTGAAGGATTGGATAGATTGCACTGCATTTGATGCTCCTTTGATTCCAAGCAAGATCACTATGGCACGTGCTGCTTTGGTTCAACAGGGTACTGCTAGAGCCAATGCTGCTCCTCTAAGTATAGATAACAGGTGTTAGAACTTTTTACTTTTCATTTCTGTAATTCAACCATATATTCATCATGGATGGTTTATCAATTTATCTTGATTTTTGTATAATCTTTTTACTTTTTTATACTTTAAGAGTTGGATTTTCATTGCTTGTTTAAGACGTATTTCATAAACAAATATATTTGGGACTATTGACATTTCTCCAGTAAACAAATTGTTGTTAGCTTAGTCAATTTATCAAATAATCCCTTTGAATCATGCTCATGCAACAATTCACTAAACTAACTTTTTTCTAGAAGAAAATTTGACATAGTAGAATAACTTTAAATGTTATCTTGGTATATTTGTTTGATCAAGGTTCGCCAAATTTCTAAATCAAAAAGATGATGAGTAGTGCATCAAATGCTCTAGTATAGTAAAACTCATATGGCTAAATGCCTTGAAACCATTAGCATTTTGACATTTTAGTACATCTAACTTTATGATGCTTATATCGGTATTGTGCAGTATAAATTCAGCCTTTACAAATGGTTTACCTTGGATATACTAGTGATGTCTACTGGTATTAATGCTAACAACTGCAATCAGTTCAGAATACATTGTAGAGAACTAAGGTCTGTTGTGTTTTGACAAAACCTATGTGTTTCATTTCTTGTTTTGACTGATAATTACAAAATTATTACTTTTATTGTGTTAAAAAATAATGCTACTTTCACCGTTTTCTTATTGATCTTTGAAAAACTCAAAGGAAAATAAAGTAACATTTCTATAATTATCAGTTAAATTAAGAACTAGAAATTTTCACCTAACAAATGCACTAGCTTGGAAAGTTCTGCTCTTGTTAGGGAAAACTTTCCCAACAGATTGAAGTGAGTATACTTACAATACTAATTCACTCTATGTGAATAATCCTGAGCAATACTTGAGCACGGATGCGAAGTTTATCTGACAGGAAATATAATTTACAATCACACTCGTGATTTAGGTTTAAAAAAATACAATATTCATATCTATTTTAAATTATTATAAATTACTAAATCTAGTAAACAAAAAGAACAATGAGGATGCCTTACAATCACACTCTGGATTTAGGTTTAAAAAATACAATATTAAAAATCTATTTTAAATTATTATAAATTACTAAATATATTAAACAAAAAGAACAATGAGGATGCCTTTACATCTAGCATTTCTACTATTATACTCCACTTGTATAATTTCTGCTGATGATACGGCAAATATGCTAAACTGGTATCCCACTATGATCCCAGATCCCACACCTTGATTGTCCCGTCATCGCTTGCTGAGGCTAGCAGCGGCTTCTCCTGTTTAGCAAGCAATCGTATGAAAAATATGTTTGATTAATAACCAACTGCGGACCTTATAAAACAAATTGCAAGAGAAAGACACAAAGCATAAGTTCTTATAAGCTATCAAACTGTGTGCTATAGGAGCAATAGCAATCAACTTAATTCTTAAAGCCTGACAAAATTGTAACTAGAAATTTTATTTTATATTTACTGTATAGATGGAAATTTAAATGTTCTTTCTGGTGCAGATTCTGTCAATACATGTCACTTTAGAGTTGTGGATGGCCCTCTAATCACAGCCTTCATTGAACAACTACTAGTTAATTAGAGGAAAATTTAAGCAGGTGTGCTTCAGATCACACACAATCATTACGAAATTATGTAATAATAATAGCAGTGAAATCTAACATTCCACCCACTTGATGTGTGTAAAGTGATATTCACTTTACCATCAATGTGATTTCGCCAAAGTAATGTCCAAAAATCTTACCCCAGGGCTCCACTGCACATAATTTATATCCATGTCATGTGCCTTCTCCTTCTTCAATAGCAACTTGTACAAAGGACCGTCAACCTATTGTCATAAGCAAGCAGTGATGTTTTTAATGTTTTTTTATAGAATGAGATGCATCATAAGTTATAAAGATATAAAAATATTTAAGAAACACTTCTATTAGTTTGTTATTATTTTCATGCAAATCCGAACATTCTTATATAAGTTTGAATTTTTCAGGGACTCGGAATTCAATGTACATAAGGATTTCTCTCTTAGTAACAACTGCACAAATGTTGATGTTCAAAATACTCAAGTTTTCAGACAACCAAACACAGAGAAGAGCTCCTAAACAAAAAGATCTGATTCAAGTTCACAAATGTATGAAGGGAAGGGATCATGTTAAGAAAAACATTGGAAACAAGCTGATCAAGTTCACCAGTAACCACATGCTAATCTCTTCAAAATAAAACACAGTTCAAAGAAAAAACTTGAAGTAGATAAATGAAGTTGCAAATACAGTTAACAGCATAGCTGATAGGTTGAGTGTTTTCTGCACTTAAGTTGTAAATGAAGAAACATTTGACATTGGTTTGTTAAATCTTCATTGTTGTTATTATCGCCCTTGTGATTGCAGGTACAAATTACAAAGAAACCAAAAAATTCTAGGTTTATCCCTAGGCACAAATAGCTAACAGAATCATTGTCTCCCATGACTTAAAGTGAATGATTCTGCACCAGGAAAAAGAACTTGTAATGAACATATAAAGAATCTGATGCTTCTCTTTTCTATGAACTTTTCATACATTTCAGACTAAAACATATGATGATAGTATGCAAAACCTCAGTATGCTCCCGGTGGCGTCCCATGTGAGCGAAAACGACATGTCTTACTAAATGATGACAACTATTAAGCCCACCAGCATTTGAAAGGAATGACCTGGTGTGAATGACTAACAACTTATTCTACATTATCAGCTATAATTTCTTTTTTATATTCATTTCTTGGAATATAAAAATCACATATGGCTTGATTTATGAGTACTTAAAATCTCAATATTTCAAACAACTAATAAAGCATGATGCATACATTGGATGGTAGTGGAGTTCAGAGCAGTTACCTTCTTTTTCTTTTTTGAGGTGGTGTGGTGAGTTGTCTCTACCTAAATACTCTAGTGAGGTTTTATTGCTTAGGTAATATATATAATACCCACTAACGGTCTCACCACTTCAGGTTTTGCATTTTTTAAATATTTAAAATTTATAAAATAAATTGCATCACTTAAGGTTTTGTAATTTTTCAATGATTTAAAATGTTTAATCACCACTAAACACACACTATGCTGTTTATTGCGTATCGCTATATCAAAGCTCGCCAATATACTCCAAATAGAGAAGATGAGATGTTGTATCGACTACCCATATTCCGATACATACTGGTGGTATATTGGCCCTATACCATTTTTTAACAACACTGCACAAAATACCTGAAAAGCTAAAACAATGACGTACCTGGCTTTCATTGTTATCCACAAAAAGTCTTATGGCATTATCAGCAGCTCCACTAGCAAAGATACCTCCCCTAACACAACAGCACAAGTTGCAGGATACAAAAGCATCAGGATTATACAAGCCAAAATTAGCAAAAATTGCAGAATTAGAAATTCCGCAAAGTTATACAAGCCAAAATTAGATGACTTGGAACTCCTCTACTATCTTAAGGACGACAGACATGAAGTGAACGAGTCATTTTTTCATCTTGCTTAAAAAGACATGCATACAAAATCATGAGTATTAAATGGCAAGTTAGTTAAAAAAACAAACCAGTAAAAGATTGACATAAATGTCAAGAAGTGAGATGAAAGTTTTACTTTATTTAACCAAGATGCAACTACCTTGACCAATGAACTGAGAAAATTGTCCGTTCATGATATCCTGTAAGAGTGCAACGATGTCTCCTGAAAATCCCAAGAGAAAACAATAAACAACTTTTATTGTCTGAAAGGGATGGGATTAATATGTGTACCAAAAAAGGATAGGACAAATATGCCATGATTAAATGATTGATCTCTCATTTGTATAGGTGACATATAGTAAATAAAAGATTATTATTAACCCAAACTTATATAATTGATTCTAAATCTATGAATAAAGTGAATCAAGGTGTTACAATCCATTCCAAATTATAATTCTAATGATTAAAATAATAAAGCATCTCTAGATTATGACTTGAAGACTGCATTTTAACGAAATACTGAATGCCGTCAACAAATCCTATATCAGAATAACTTTCAACCTATAGTTGAGTAACTTGAGCTTAAGATAAGGTGACTGCACAAATGCAATACAATTGCCATTTTGATAACCAAGTAACTAGATTGAAAGGAAATGGAATGGATTTTAACACTTAAACATTATAACTTCCACAGCCGTGTCATGCGAACGAGGATACCTACCCTTGTCACGGAAATTGAAATAAGTAAAACATGGGAATGCTATTAGCCAGAGAATTATAACTTTTAAAACCCTTGAGGAAAAAATACACACCCTAAAAGCTAGAATATGAAGAGAAAACATACCAAGGAGCAAATCCACCACCAGATTGCATCCCTATGTTGTCTGTTTCCCATACCTTCAGGGAAAGATCATCACTGCCATAAGGAGTTGGAGTCAAAATGCCATAGAACTTCTAGAAAATGCCAAAAGTAATTCCATGAATGAACAAGAGATGTGATTGACATACCTACAGGTAACCATTTTGTCTCCACTAGCATTGAAGGAGAGGGCCCAAACAGTAGATGTATGACCACTGAATAACATAATTGCGAACAAATTAACATATAACTTAAAAAATTGGTCATTCAACATAAAGTATGGCCTAAACAATCATGCTTAAAAATAGAAGAAAACACAAAATCTAGGTTGATGAGAGAGTTCAAGAAGTAGTACTTGTTGGGTTCTCCAAGGGTTTGAACACACTGCCAATCGTCACTATCACCTTCATCTGCCCAAACCTGGAAGAAATTTGATTGCATTATAATGTCATCACAGTGTGTAAAACTAAGGAACAGAAATTAAATTAAAATGGCTGCACTATAGGAACAGAAGTCTTTTCCAGTGTCTGGATTACCTTAATATTATTATCATAGCTACATGAAAATAAGATATCCTCTGTTGGGTGCCACCTCACCATTTTCACATCCTGAGTATGTCCTTGCAGCACTG